TACACTGCACGGAATAAAAAAGAGTGCTAGGGAGAACAAAAGGCAATTCTATGACACGCTGGCCAGCAACTGAAGCAGAACAGGCAGGCTGCAGGTGAAGTAAACCTCAGAACATTACATCAGATAATCAGGTCTTTATGAGACAAGAGATCAACTCGGAGAAAGCCAATGATTTGCGGTTGAAGGGACCTAATTATCAGAGAGGAGGAACAAAGAAAACAATAGGCTGATCACTGCAAAGGACTCTTGAACCGGCAGTCACCTGCAACTCACCCAACAACAACCAATCTTCCAAAAGAGAGAAGACTTCAATGCTATCAAAGCTAATGAAATCCACGAAGGACGAGACAGAATTCCCCCTGAAGCATTGAAAAAGGACTTTGAGACTGCAACAGATATACTGACGTCATTATTGCAAGAGCTGCAAAGAATTTGGAAGGAAAGAAAGGTGCTTACAAGTCAGAAGAAATGTTGTCTTGGGCCTCTGCAAAAACTGGCGGAGAAGTATGCTCTTGTCAACGGCATGCAAAATACTAAGTAGCGTCATCATGAAGAGAATAAAAGATGCACTAGATGCATATTTCTAACCAGAACAAGTCGAGTTCAGGTGAAGCTAATTGTGTGCGGACCAGAAAGCAACCTAAGAAACCATCATTGAACAGAGCATAGAACAGCAGTCAAACCATCACCTCGATTTCATCGACTTCGAGAAGGCCTTTGACAGCGTTGATCGCGAAATTATTTGGAAACGACTTCAACACTACAGCGTGTAGTACCAAATTCTTTATCAACCTTATTCAACGGCTATATGACAGTGTCACAAGTCAGGTGATCTAGATCAGAAAACCCAAAAAAGCGTTTGAAGTGAATACAGGAATTCGACAACACTGCCTATGATAACCGACGATGTTCCTAACTGTGGTGGACTGGATTTCGCGGCACACCGTATGTGAGGAGCGAGGAGACAGGAGTGCGCTGGGCCGATAAGAATCTAAAAGATCTCAACTTTGCGGATGATTTATGTTTAATGTCCCACAAACTTGAAGACCTATATGCGAAAACCAACAAGCTGGTTGAAGAATAGGCGAAGATAGGACTCCAGGTGAAAATAGGGAAGACGGAGGTGGTGAAGATAACCAAGGAATAGAAACAACGATCAGCACCAATCACCGCCAACGGGAGAAATTCGAAAGAGGTCACTACGTCCACTTATCCAGGAAGCATCGTTTCAACTACAGCCTGAACGGATGAGGATATCGAAATCAGAATCGGAAAAGCTAGGTAGACCTTCTGTCTGTTTGTCTGTTTTCGACATAGAACTTTGCACAAATGTGCGGAAGTTCAAGTCGCCACATTCCGTGTAGCACGCGAAGCAAGAGAAGAAAGTACAAGAAAAGCATAATAGAAACAGTGAGCAGAGGTGTGAGACAAAGGAGTAATAAAGAAAAACAAAACAGTTTCATTGAAGATCATAAGTCACAGGGAGTGGATGCATCTGCGCCACTGAGAACGATTTTGAGCCATGTCACCAATTGTTTCCAACCATAGATTTTTACCGTCCCGAGGACCCCAGCCTGGAAGTCTACACCTTTCTACGTGGCTTAGACCAACTGTTGTGGATTTCATTGACTGATGCCAAGTTTTTGTTTGACCGCCGCTAGCTTTTTTCCAGCCTGACCCTATATCCGCTAACATTGCTCGTCGAGGGAGGCGATGGCTTGGCATACGTAACACATGTCCTAACCATCTCAGTCTTTGTAGCTTCACGACTTCGTCGATTGATTTCCCCTGTTTACCTAGAACTCTACGCCTAACCTCCATGTTGCTCACCTTATTATGCCACTTTACACGGGAAATAGAACGCAGGCACCTATGATCAAAGACAGCTAGTCTTTTCATGTCTTCCACTCTCAGTGGCCAGGTCTCACAACCATAAAGGAGGACGGAGCGGACTGATGAGCAGTACACCCGCCCTTTGGTCGATAGTCGAACATCTCGTCTACGCCAGAGTCGGCGTAAACTAACAAATGCGAAACGAGCCCCTTGTATTCGTGCTGAGATTTCGTCAGAGATCAGCCCGTTGGGGCTGATGGTACTTCCCAAATAAGTGAAGCGGTCAACGTGCTCTACCACTTCACTTCCTATTTTTAAACTAGGCGTCGATGTAGTCCAGTCCTGTAACATCATCTTGCATTTGGCGGGAGCGAATCGCATGCCAAACATTCGTAGATTGCGGCTCAAGGTGTTTAGAAGACTCTGCATTTCGTCAGCGTCTTCGCCTAGAAGGACTATATCGTCTGCATATTCCAAGTCAACGAGATTATTCCCCGGTAGCAAGTCAATTCCTGAGTCGCTGAAGTCACCTAGGGTTAAGTCCATTAACACATCTATGATGAAGTTGAATAGAAAAGGAGATAATGGGCATCCTTGACGGACACCACTGGTCGTCATCAGTTCAGATGACAGCTCGCCGTAAGCCCTCACCTGGCTGTATGAGTACGAGTAGAGTGCCTTAATCAGTGCAATATATTTTCTTGGAATTCCCTTTACAGCCAAGCATCTCCAGAGAACTTCCCGATCGACAGAGTCGAATGCTGCCTTTAGGTCAAGAAATATAATGACTGTTGGACGCCGGTAGGAATGCCTATGTTCTAGAATCTGTCGGAGGGTGAAGATATGATCAATACACCCTCTTCCTGGTCTAAAGCCTGCCTGGCTCTCTCGTGTTTGTGCTTCCCGAGCACCACTCAGTCTACGCATGATTATTGAGCCTAAGACTTTAGATACTATATTAGTCAAGCTAATCCCTCTGTGATTATCACAGGAAGACTTGTCTCCCTTCTTGTATATGGGGATAATCAGTGACTTACACCAACCCGATGGGACTTCTTCTGATTCCCAGACGCTGCCTAGTACCTCAGTTAATCCGGACAGTAAGCTGTCTCCACCGTACTTAAATACCTCTGGCGTCATTCCATCAGGTCCCGCTGCTTTGCCTAGTTTCAGATTGGTGACAGCTTTAGTAACCTCAGTTAGTGACGGAGGACCTGTGTTTATATCCCATTCAGGGAGGTGTTGGATGCTCGGAAGGTTGAGCGTGGCTGTGGGCAAATTAAACTGCTCCTCATAATGCTCTTTCCAACGATCCAGTCGTCTATCCTGGGAGCTAATTATAGTGCCATTTTTTTCCGAGATTGTCTCACTAATGATTTGTCTTCTCCCACCCGTTTCCCTGATGAGTCCAAAGAGTTGCCTGGTGTTGCCTATCCTCGAAGCTTTCTCCATCTCTTTGGCTTTTGTCGCCCACCACTGTTCACGGTCCTTGCGGAGACTTTTCGTAAGTTTCCTCTTGTGCAGCTTTCGCTCCTCATTGAATTCGGAGCTCGCCGGAATAAGTCTTCTAGCATCTATCAGTTCGGATGAGGCGGTGGAGATCCAGTGGTTTTTACTCACCTTTGGGTTTACCTTATTCACAGCTTTTACAGCTGTATCTATGGCTGCCTGGATATTTTTCCAAGCTTCTTCAGGGTGAGCACAGCTGTCGAACACAGATATGTGTTTAGCTAGTTCTTCCTGAAATACGGATTTAGTTTCCTGATCGAGCTGGGGACGTGATGGTTTTACCGCCAGCTGTTTCCTACGTCCGTTCAGTCGTAAGCACACCCGAGCGCGGACCAGTGCATGGTCGGTATCTACGCACGTGTTCCAGAAGGAGCGACAATCTCCTACCGACCCACGCCAACGATAGCTTATTGCTATGTGGTCTATTTGTGTCCAGCGTTGGTTTGATGAAGGGGGTCTCCAAGTCAAACAGTGTCTCTCCTTGTGTTTGAAGTTAGTGCTTACAAGAAACAAATGATTATCAGAGCAGAACTGTAGGAGACGGTCACCGTTGTCGGTTCGCTGGCACGGAACTCCATAGGTGCCACCGACATCCTTCTCAGATTGACACAATTTCCCTACTTGAGCGTTAAAGTCACCAGCTAGAACGACTATGTCTGAGCGTTTAGCCTTTCGCACCAAACTAGACAGCTTTTGGTAGAACTCATCCTTCGTTTCATCTGAACTGCAGTCAGTGGGGGCGTAGGCGGAGATTACGAAAAGGCATCGGCGAGTAGTGCAGTCCTTCCTCCTTCTTACTGATCCGTTCAGGCGGACAGCACACATTCGGCTATCTACCGGGATCCAGTCAAGCAATGTCTTTTCTGCCCTAGTACTCAAAGCTATCCCTACGCCAGCTAATCCTCGTGAACTAGCTGTGGCATCTCCTGACACCCTCAAGGTGAATTTTGCAGATTCAACCTGTTGGCCAGGTGGGGTTAGGTGAATAACCACACTTGGGTCTTGTATGCGTGTTTCTGAAACACAGCATACATCAATGGCTCGTGATGCCAGGGTCTTGGCTAGTGATGCTTGTTGTCCTATTTGGCAAAGTGTCCTAACATTAAGAGCTCCTATATGAAATTGGTGGCGCGGCTTTAAGAGGCTGTCGGTGGTGGTTTTTTGGCTTCCATCGTTTTTAGTGGACGCAGAGTGGAGAGGAAGTGGAGAGCTATCAAGTCGAGGAGTTGCATCAGTGGAAGGAAGGCAAGATGATAGAGATGAAGATGAAGACAAAGATGAGTGAGTAATAGAGAGGTTTCGCGTGCATTTCGGATTGTGAGGGCGATTGTTACTTCCCGGCTGCCCACACCGTGGAAGTTGGTTGCGTGACCGCAGAGCCCAGGGGACAACTGCTTGAGGCCGGTCACACGCGGCCTGTTTTTGTTCGTTCTTTTTGTTTGGTGTGTCTCAGTAGCAGATTTATCACTCCCGCCCTGTGACACGGCAGCAGGAAGCGCGGTCGTTGTTAATCCGGGCCACGGCCATAAACCAGGTACCGAATATTGCACCAAAAAAGAACATCCTATTGTTAAAATCGTACGCTTGTATCAGACGAACGGCTATTTTAGATCATTAAAAGTATGTTACCTTTAACTGTATCCACCAATTTACACGAGAAAAAGGTTGCTATCCGCTCTTTTGAACAAGTACAAGAAAATCTGACAATTAGGGATATACAGGCACTGAACGGTGATTTAGGGCTATCTGATGGACAGTCTAGAGGAGTTCAAAATATTCGCCAGGCTACATAAACCCAATCGTTTACGTTTAGCCGAAACAATCACTACCAACAAGTGCAGAGCACATTTTTATGTACATAAAAAGGCAGTGGTGTATTTGGCATTGCTGCAGCGGTTATACTCATAAAGCAGATACACAGCTCTTATGTTATGTATCATCCAGTATTACTTGTTCTGCTTTTCCAACTGCACATTATTCACCTTATTGTTCTTGCTACTGTTCATCAGTCTTGTGATTACCAACCTATTGTAATAAAATGCTTTCTTTTAACGCTTTTTTATCCAAATTCTCGAACTCTGTTCCCTCTAGTTCTTTTCAAGAATATTCACCTAATGATCCTATATATAATCTAACCTTTTAAAAATTTAGCTACTTATAGTGTAGGTTAATAATTTGTCAACGTGATGAAAGCATGTTCGAATGTTTTGTATTTGATTTATTTAGGTACTGTTTAGGTTGTAGTATGTTGAAAAGAATCCAGGAAATAATGAAAATGAACTCTTGCTTTTGCTTTGTTCAAATCTATCAATAAGGCGAATTGTTTTTAATCCTGTGTATTTCTCAGAGTAAGGGATGAACGGTAAATCCAAACACAAGTTATTGATTATTTATACTCCAGTAGTTCACAAGTTTTACCAAATGACAGACTAGGTAATAAACAAAATAATTTCAAATGTCGGTCAAGAGCACAAATCGGAATCAACTTAATATCTCAAACAATCTAGTTTCTTCGGTTATATCCGTAATTACAAGTCTACTTCTGGTTTAGGTTTTCATTCTAACTGGTTTATATCACTGCTTATAACATGAAATCTTAGAACCATGAATTATTGATCACAGAAATCCCGACATTACAATGGTGGTAACAACAGAGTAGACATATGACATTCTAATGTAACTTAGACTTTGTGATGAGGATCAACACAAAATACACAGTGGTATTTGCCTTATTTATCCTTACAAATCTCACGAAACTGGCCAACAATAAACAGTGTCAATTTTACTAATTAATAATGTGACTTAATAAAGAATGTCATTTCTACAAAGCCGTTACAAGACTAAGACATTCTATTAGTAATGCAGGAAGTGATATGACTACAAGGAAGACAGTGACTGGCCGAGCAGATAGTATTCACAATTTATATTGTAACCAGTGATCATCGACAGGTACTCATTGTACAATTAAGCATATAACATGATAATAGACTTAACATAATCAAAATATTGGTGTTTTCTGCATCGTTTGGGTTGAAAACTTGTCAAGCTAAAAACCATGTTGTACACCATGAGATAGACAGATGTGGACTAGGATAAATTAAAACCCAAGAGGTACTGTGAGGAAGACGTGGCAGCACTTAGTAGTAAACTCATTTTAAATTATAAATATTGTAACATAAAAAATCCTAAAAGCAATAATCATGAGTTACATAGAACGTACCACTCAGCTGCTACTCCAACAGTGCACTCCAATTGAAACATTGCATTCAACAAACACACATCGAAAATATATGCGGTCGGAGATAACAACCACTCCAGGAACTGATTTCGCATACTATTCCAATGACTATGCATTATTTCCGAAATAAACGGAAATGAAGGCGGCCACCCAGGCTCTGAATAAAATACGACATTCGACATTGCGTCAGCCTGACATAATACGCATGCCAAACAAGCAGATTTAACAGCAATAACAGCATCTTTTGTTTCCCGAGACACATGACATAAATTGCTTGCCAAAGCTTTGGATACAATGAACGCCGCGATGGTACGCGTAAGTGGTACAAGATGACAAATACTCCGAAGATGTATCTTTTCTTCTTTGTTGTGATCAAGAAGAGAGAAGACTGATCTAAATTCTTTTACGAAATCTCCCCATAGTCCATGACAAGCTTCCCGTCTGACTGCAATACAACTTTCTTTAGGCCATAGTGATACAATGAGCATCTGAAGAAACCTATATATAAAAGTGCCTTCTGGGTCACGGTACATACTGCTGCGGTATTTATTCATGAATTTACAAGCCCATAATATTTCTTGGTGATTGTTACTCAAACCACTCAGAGCAAAATCTAAACGAATGATTTGTTCAAAATGTGTTTCGTAACTACAATCACATAATCCATAGGAACGTGGACGAATATCCTCTTCCAATGTATCCAGCACTCGAACAGCAAAAGAGTATGAATTGGAACTATACTTACGAAAACTCCAGATTTCATGAATATATTTCAAGAGTACTGTATCTTCATCCTCTAGAGAAGAACCCTTATTAGATATTAGATTAAAAATAGCATCTAGATTTAGTGGGAAGTAAAATATCCTGTTTGCAGAGGATTTTCTCAACTTGTTTTCGAAGATTCCGTGGCGGAACTTGTTCAGGTATGATACACCTATATCAATAAGTGTGTACCAAAATACGCTGAGCGTCTGGAAAGCTAAAGGATGAAATTTATGACTTAGACTTTGACCAGACGGACGAGGCATTTTATCACGTGTATCCTTCTTTGTAGGTGAACTTTCGCATGAAGACATGGTCTCCCGAAACAAATCCTTAGTAAGCTGTACAAGGGCAGACGGGCTTCTACTAGAAGTGAAGTCAAAAGTATTGTTAACAGGCCACTGTAACATGTGTCCTACCATTTTCAAACAGTCTGCTATGTACATTTTCGGGGCTTTTTTCGTTGAAAACACATCATCTTCCAGCCCGTCGATACGTGGATTTTTCGGAATGTGAGCTATGTACGTTAATAGGAAGTTGAGTGATGTAACTGACATCCTATATATGAGATTTTTGTCCAGTTTGGCAACACTAACAGCCTGAGAAGGGTTATATGTCTGTTCCGAGTTACCTTGTATGCCGCTGGGAGCAACTCGTAGGTTATTTTGAAACGAAATATGTTTAACACTGAGACTGGAATACCACTCCATGCATTGTCGTCAGCCTCAGCACTGCATGTATCAAGATCATCTACGAACTCATCTTCGTCATCGCCTCCCATTACTTCTCCTTCTTCGCCTTCATCTATGTTTTCCATCCTAATGATTATATTTTTCATCAAATGAATTACTTTACGATTGATTCACGACCACAGACAGTTGCTGAATGATTTTTCACATCCATGTTTTTACGTAAAGTGTTTTCACCTTCCATAAGACTTTGGTTTGCCATTGAAAGTAACATGGGTAGAGTTTGAGGGTGCAAAACTACATCTTTCGAGTTAAGCAAATATATAATGCTGTCTGCTCTGATTAGGTCATTGGTTATTTGTTTCATATAAAATTGTGCTAGATGTTTCTGCAGGAACGGAGTTAGCTTCGAAAAAATTTCTGAAAATTAAGTGAGTATTTGGCCTTACCACAACACACTTTATCAGTGGGGTTTTGAATTATTTTGCCGAGAAGATCAACTTGTGATACATCAAGATGCTTCTGATTTTCATGTCTGCTAGGTAGACCATTAGTGTATAAAGTGCGATTACAGGCGACATAATATCTCAGCGGCTTGGGTGCTATCTCCATATTCTTGAAAAAGTTCATACTCAATCATCTAGCCTGGTAAGATTAACTATGAGTTACTTCCAACTTTATAGAACTTGGATATAGCGACTTCACCATCAGCAGGAAACTTTTGCAGTCGTTAAGACTTTGCTGCAAAAGTTTAGAAATCTGTTGACGGATAACAGCGAAATCCGGATCCAAAACATCTGCTCTTCGTTTAACAGACATGCCCTGGGCAGCCTGTCGACGGCCGTGATTTTGAGTACCCGCGAGTGTGATAAACAAATGATTTATTTGCTTGTGATTGGCCAGTTTGTCATTCGAATTGAGGTAATTTCAAACATCATTTAGGTGTTAGCAATTTCCAGGAGCGTTTTATCAAGTCGGATGGATAACTGACAATACAAACTGTGCAGATTGCCCAATGGGGCAAAGTTCAACAATAGCGTCCCAGGAGTGCGAACGCACGAGCGACCTTCCGCTGACCAATCGTAAAAATGAGGAATGGGCAACTCTAAAGAATAACAGCACAAACTGAAACGACCTAGCCAACGGACCAATGACCTCGAGCAACCAATCAGGTGACTCTTTTATCCAGACACACTTATGGGTGCTGTACACCTTTTCTGATGCAAATTCGCTCCAGATCTTGTTTTGATTACTGTTTGGAGAACGGAATGATAAGAAGGTTTAAAAAATTGCTAATGTGGAGGTGTCATTCATATGCTAAGATACATTTGGTGCATCGATGAGTTTATATGTTGGTGAAATGAGTGCCAAACCAGAAAATCAGTTCGACAACTTATATTGTTCGTTTTTAATTTTCAGATTCCTTAGGTACTTTCGATAAAAAGAAAATATAATCGAGGGAGAGTGAGAGCGAATCAGCAATAGGTATTGGAAATATATGACACTAGTCTCCAGAAAGGACATATTGAGGCGATCCCTAATCGCAGTGCATGTGTATTATTGCCTATTATCCAGTCCTTAGTGCTGCCTGGGACAACTATTCATACACATGAATGGAATAGTTACAGTCAGTTATCGAATCCGGGCCGTATTCATGGAGAAGTCAACCATACTAATCGTTTTCTCAATACTTTTGATGGAACTCACACTAGTTCCATCGAAAGTTTCTGGAGTCACCTAAAAGAACGTATCAGATTTGTGAATGGATCAAGAAATGCAATGATGTACAGTTACCTCGATGAGTTCATCTACAGGACTTGGTTTAGCATGAGTATTGTAGCGGTAAATAATTCCCCGAAATTATTGACCACAGCAATCACTCACCATTGGATGCTGACCACCACTGTTTAAGTCGACTTGTTTAGCTGAAGGCTTCCGGTCAAGCATCCCCGCCATTTGGTACCCCGTCGTGTCACGTGCACGATCACTAACTAGCTAAGCGTTCGTCTGACGGCTTGTTTTGGTCCCGAAATATATCACTTAGTTTGGACGATCAAATTTTGACTTTTGCTTTGTTGTTGGTAAGCGAGAATAATTTAGAGGCTGTGTAAGATAATTCCGTCAACCCCTAAATTGGTGAGCCCAACCGCGAACTTCATCCACGATAAATCCGCAGATAACCCCGGTGAGTTCGTTCCATTTTGTATTTGTTCTTGTACCATATATTATTCGACATAATTTTCGTCATGAGTGATCTTAGTCCCAAGGTCATTCGTATCCGCTCAACTCCTAAAACCATTCAGCTCGTACCATACTGGCCAGATAATGCTGAAACGTGGTTTCTGCTAGCTGAAGCAGATTTTTGTGAGCATGGGATAACCGATCAACGTTCACAGTTACTTGCAGTTATTCACGCCCTACCGCGGGAATTCAGCAAGTACGTAACATCACAGATGTTCAGTCCCGAGGTAAGTAACTCGTACGAGTTGCTGAAAGCATCCCTCCTCAGGAGAAACGTTCTCACGGACAGACAACGTCTAGATGAATTATTTCGCAACATCGAGTTAGGAGATCAGTCAGCCGTGAGCATGCTGACAAGAATGAAACAAGTCGTCGGCCAAAGTCAGTTCGACGAAGGACTGTTTAGAGAACTCTTCTTAACCAAGCTGCCACAGTCTGTACAGACCGTACTTGTGACACTTCAGGGTACTGTAATAGAGGACTTAGCTATTACTGCAGATAGGATTCTAGAAATAACTAAACGGTCAGTTCCCGAAATATGCTCGATGACTAAGCAGACTTCGAGTAAGGATCCTGCAATGATAGAGTTATGCAACTCCATCCAGCAGATGTTTAGGTCGAACATGCATTCTAACTCCTCCGACCGTCGTCCTAAATCTCCTCAACGCAGGAACTCACGTGGTCGATCTAAGTCCAAACCACGTTCACTGAAAAACCCTGACTGGTGCTGGTACCACAACACCTATGGCCAAGAAGCGAAGTGTTGCCGTAAGCCTTGTAACTTCGGAAATGTCTCAAAGTCTGCGGGAAACTATCCCGCCGGCACGCGTTAGCGGCAACCGTCGCCGGTGGCACTAGCCGCCTACTTTACATCCATGATGTGATAAGCCAGACTCGATACTTAGTCGACACAGGCGCCGAAGTCAGCGTCCTTCCTGCTACAGCAGCAGATCGACAGAAGGAACCTACCTTCAACTTACAGGCTGCAAATGGAAAACCAATCGCAACCTTTGGTAGGAAATACGTCTATCTGAACGTAGGTTTACGCAAACCTATTCGGTGGATTTTCCTTCTCGCTGACGTTACAATGCCCATCATTGGCACGGACCTACTTAATCATCATGATTTACTCGTAGACGTCCGCCGAAAACGACTGATTGACAATACTACTAGTCTGTCTATCAAAGGCATCAGCTACATAGGCCCTAGTTTGTCACCCGTTAAGATAAAGGCAATCCTTGATCCAACTTTTCAACCTATGGTTGACAAGTATCCGGAACTTAATTGCCCGTCGAACGACCTACCGTGCATAACCAGCAATGTTATGCACCACATCATTACCACAGGACAACCTGTGACATCTAAAGCACGACGATTAGCTCCTGACAAACTGAGAATCGCCAGGAATGAATTTGACCATATGCTTACCCTTGGCATCATTCGACCTTCGAATAGCCCATGGGCATCCCCACTTCATATGGTTCCGAAAAAGGATAGCAACGATTGGCGACCCACCGGTGATTACCGGCGAGTGAATGCCAAAACAACCCCTGATTGCTACCCGTTGCCTCATATACACGACTTGACGGCAACCTTATCCGGCGCGACTATATTCTCCAAAATCGACTTGGTTAAAGCGTATAACCAAATCCCGATGGCAACAGAAGATATCCCGAAAACGGCTATCATTACGCCTTTCGGACTTTTTGAATTTCTACGTATGCCATTCGGTCTCCGGAATGCAGCCCAAACATTCCAACGCTTCATTGACGAAGTATTTCGCGGTCTCGACTTTGTATACGCATACTTAGACGACTGCCTCATTGCCAGTCCAGACAAGGAAACTCACCTTAGGCACTTGGACTTGGCATTTGACAGGTTACGCCAACATGGTGTTACCATTAATATTCAAAAGTGTCAAATCGGTGTTGACTCACTCGACTTTCTGGGTCACACTATTGACTGCAAGGGCATTCGCCCACTGGCTACTAAGGTCGAGGCTATACTGAACTTTCCAGAGCCACAGACGGTGAAAAGTCTCCGCACTTTTAACGGCTTAGTAAGTTATTATCGACGCTTTATTCCCAACTGTGCCTCTTTGATTCAGCCATTGACAGACCTCCTTCGAGGGAATAACAAGTCCATAGAACTTGACGCGTCTGCTCGAAATGCTTTTACCCAGATTAAAAAAGCTATTGCGAATGCCACACTTCTGATGTATCAGGATCCAACGGCACCGTTAAGTATCTCGGTTGATGCATCAAACACTGCAATCGGCGCAGTTCTACAACAGCTAGTTGACAATGAGTGGCAACCACTCGCCTTTTTCTCAGGCGCCTTCAATTAGCTGAAACGAAGTACAGCACATTCGGCAGAGAACTTCTGGCTATGTACTGTGCTATACGACATTTTAGACATTCGGTAGAGGGTCGTGAATTCATAATTTTTACGGATCACAAACCTCTGACGTACTCTCTGAACTCACCTTCAGATAAGTATTCACCCAGGGAATCACGACAACTGGATTACGTTTCACAGTTTACATCAGATATTCGCCATGTATCCGGAGTAAACAACACTGTGGCAGATGCCTTGTCGCGCGTTTGTTCCCTCACCCAAATCGACGGCATAGACCTTGTAAAACTGGCTCGTCTTCAAAAAGAAGATACCGAGCTTCAACATGAGTTGTCGAAAACAACTCTACAATTAGCTGAGAAACCCTTAGGTATGGGAAGAGATACTATTCTATGCGACATTTCCACGAGTACTCCTCGCCCCATCGTGCCTAAAAGTTATCGCCGTAACGTCTTCAATACGTTGCATGGCTTATCTCACCCAGGTATTCGAACTACTGTCAAGCTCGTAACTAGTCGGTTTTGTTGGCCTGGCATTAATAAAGAAGTAAGGGAATGGGCACACACGTGCTTAGCTTGTCAAAAGTGCAAGGTGATAAGACACACCAAAAGCCCACTTGGCACCTTTCTTCTCCCTGACGCTCGTTTCGAACACGTCCATATAGATTTGGTTGGACCCCTTCCTGAATCACATGGATATGCCTATATTTTAACTTGCATCGATCGATTCACACGATGGCCGGAAGCAGTACCCATCAAGGATGTATCTGCTGAAACAGTCGCACGCGTCTTCGTAGAAAGATGGATCGCTAACTTTGGATGCCCATCTTCCATAACAACTGATCGCGGGCGGCAATTCGAAAGTGGCTTATTCTTCGCCCTGACTAAAATCATAGGTTGCATGCGTTTTCGAACAACAGCCTACCATCCTCAAGCTAATGGTATGGTAGAACGTCTACACAGACAGCTGAAAGCTGGTCTGTCAGCTGCAAACAACACCCATTGGACTGAATCCCTTCCGTTAGTTCTCCTAGGGATACGAAACGCCTTGAAAACCGATGCTGGTTGTACTAGCGCCGAGCTAGTATATGGCACGACACTACGACTGCCTGGTGAATTTGTTTCTCCCTCGAGCTTCCCACCAGTGGTAGATCACGCTTCATACGTCAGCAGGCTTACAAACGCAATGCGTTCAGTTAAACCTGCTCCCCTTCGTCCACAGTCCATTGATGTTTTCGTTCATCCGTGTTTGAAAACTTCTTCACATGTATTTGTTCGTCGCGACTCTGTGCGCAGACCCCTGGAACCCCCATATGACGGACCTTATAAGGTAATTAA